TCTATTTCAAATTAGGACATATTCACCTGTCTCAGTGCTTGCCTATTTTCTTATTCGCATTGTTCTGTAGTATTGATCTTAGTTTATTTTAATTGAGTACAAACCTTTTTTTTTTTTTTAAAAATAATTAGAGGCGTGCCATGCCAAATAAAACCTCAAAACTTATGACCCTCACTTAATTAATTTTAATCCTTTAGAAATCGAGGTGTGCCATTTAGTTGAATTTTCCATGGCCCTCGCAAACTTGAATGTGCGTAGTTGCTTTAGGCACGCTATTTAAAAATTACTTTCCTAAACTCGGGTGTGCATTTATGTGACTCAAATCCGAATTTCAACAACTTTAGATAAAATGTGTCGTGGACCGCGGGTGCATTTATATGACGTGGTTCAAGACGTGTTTTAGATGACGTTGAATCTTTCCTAAAAATAATTAAATAAAAGCGGTTATAAAGTTAAAATTGAACCATAGGTTAAAACATGTATTAAAATCAGATAATAGGCCAATTATGATAGTTTAAGCGAACGTGCTAGAACCACGGAATTCGGGGGTGCCTAACACCTTCCTTCGGGTTAACAGAATTCCTTATTCAGAATTTCTGGTTCGCAGACTTCAAAAGGAAAGTCGAAATTTCCTCGATTTGGGATTTAAAATAAACCGGTGACTTGGGACACCAGAAAACAAACCATCCCAAGTGGCGACTCTGAATAAAAATGAATAAATAATCTCATTTCGAATAATGTCACTTAAAGTGGAAAAACTCCCCTGTACTACCTTCGGGCGTGTAAAAGGGTGGTGTGACAGCTCTGGCGACTCTGCTGGGGAAACAAAGCCAGAACTTCGATTCAGGGTTTAAGAATTCGAGCTTACAATAACTGTTATAGTTGGCTTGTTTTATCTGATTTTTACATATTGAGCCTAATGTGCTAAATGCCGCTTTTTACCGCTTTGATATTATTTGAATTGTATATAAACTGTTACGAAACCCTTGATCGCTGCCGACTCAACACTACACTAAGGTAGGAAGAGCGGGTTGCAACAGCTTTTACCCGAATAGTGGTTCGGGATCGAATTTCCACAGGGAGCTAGTAATGGAGTTGTATTGTCTGTTTAGTCTAGAATTGCAGTTGTGCTTCTAATGTCACTTCTAACATCTTTGGTTTTGATTTTTATATCTACTATTATAAGACTAATGTTTGAAGCTAAATTATGCTACGGAGATATTGCTAAGTTGTAATTAATATAGAGAAAGGCACTAGGGTTGTGGCATTACCTAGGTGGCTAACTAACGGGTAGACGCTACTAAGGGTAAATTGACATATTTGGGGCTTATGCTATAACCGTTGCTCAATTGTACCCACTCTCACTCCTCTCGTTAGAGAGAGTGATTTTGCCCAATTGACTCTCTCGAGACCAATTGGGTAGGCCAATTAGACCAAGCAACTAGGGTTCAAGTAGGGTAATTACTCTCTCGTGATTTAACCCGTTAATTGGGACTACCATTTCTCAGGGGTCCATCCCAATTCCTTGTTGGGTCAATTTTGGGGTCATAGACTCACTTTCTCAAGAAGAGTTAAACCCACCAAGCTAGAATCAGTGTTTGCAACCACCAATGCTTAATTAAAACCTAAAATTAACCCAAATAGCAAACACCAATATCAATCTATCCTTAGATGGCAACACCCATCAATTACCCACACTAGGGTTGAGCTTAGCTACTCATGCTAGATGCAAAAATTAAAGAAATAGATGAAGAAGCAAACATATTAATTTATTACTAAGGAAGAAATACAATATTGAAGGTCAAAAATGCCAAAAATGGATAAACCCAGTGTTCTCACGAGCTCAGCAGCCTCAGCAAAACTAAAACTTAACCTAAAAATGGAGAAAAGATCTATTTATAGTAGCTAGGAAAACTGGACAAAAATACCCCTATGGGGTCAGCGCGGGCCGCGCAAAAAGGTAGCGCGGCCGCGTTGGCTCTTGAACTCTTGAAATTTAACTCTCTGAAGTTGAGGAACGCGGACCGCGCGAAAGTGTAGCGCGGCCGCAGGAGCTCTGGCGCGGACCGCGTAAGTGTGACCGCGGCCGCGTGGCTTGCTCTGGTCCCAACTGGCATCTCTCCAAATCTCTTCACGCGGGCCGCATGAAAAAGTGGCGCGGCCGCGTGAGCTGATCGCGGGCCGCATAAATCCAACCACGGCCGCGTTGTGAGAGCCCTGAATATGCACTTCTCTAAATCTCCTAGTGCGGTCGCGTGCACTTTTGTGCGGTCCGCACTAGGCTCTTTTTTCCATCATTTTACTTGGTCTTTGATACTTGAGCAGGTTTCATTCCGTTTAGAGCCGATCTTTGACATTTCAGTCACTTTGTTGCTAAAACCTGCAATCAAGCACAACCTGTGAGCATTTTGGGATTATTTTGTATCAAATTATACTCAAAGCGTAGGCAAGTAGGGGCATAAAACACGTTAAAATCCTACTTATCAACTCCCCCAAACTTAAACCTTTGCGTGTACTCAAGCAAACAAAATAAGACTCACCCCTTAAAGGAACATCCAAGTAATTCCAGCTATCCTAAAGTAACCTCAACAAGCATCAATTGGGACTAACAATTGCCCTCAATACGAATGCATTATTAACACGTTTTAAACTTCAAAAACTATGGTTCAAGTGTGACACAAGAGCATCAAGCGTTGACACATTTCATCAAAGAACTTTCTCAAATACGTTGGTCGTTGTGGAACCCAAACTCACATATCCTCAACTCTCCCTAAATGAACCTCACCTTTTAGAGTATTGACACACAAACCGAGGTTGATGGACTTTCACTCATCTCTCTCAAGAAGAAGGCCACAAGTCCGGCTCTAGGTACCATATGCTTGCGCCTTATGTAAGTATCCACTAATGTAGGCTCCCTTCAACTCGAAATCATATAGGGCTTTTGCGGAGTCATTGTGAAGGCTTTTGGATAAGGGTAGGACATGTTTTTATTCAAATGGGTTCAATCTTCCCTTAAGCACTTCCTTTGATTCATTTTGGCACACTTTCTTGACTCATTTGAGTATTTCACTTCTTTTTAAGGGGTTAGAGGGACACATTGTCACTCTATCTTATGCAATTCAAATCATTTCTCATTTTTCTATTTCCACGCCTTTTTCACTTTTGTTTCCTTTGAATCCCCTTTTCATTCTTTTTCACATTGGTCTTTCTTTTTGTCTTTTTCTTTTCTTTCTTTTTCATTGCTTTCCTTTTCCTTTTGCTTTTGTACCATTTACCACTTTGTTTCCTTTCTTGTCTCTCCTCCCCCAAACTTAGACATTTGCCATTACTTCAAGGGTAAGATTTTGGATGCCAAGACGAGGGTTATCTTTTAG